ATACATAAAAAATTAAAAAATAATAATAAAGGAAGAAAAACTGGTACGAAAACAGACTAATCGAGGAGTCTTCTGCCCTTTCTCCATGGTTTGAGCAGCTCTTTCACATTCCCACCGATGAAAATCACCAGGTGCTCTGTGCGTGATGATGTAGATGGTCTCTTTACCGTTTAGACACTTGACAACACCGCCCCTCCCCCACTGGCCCAACCAACAAATTATGTTCATAGTAAATCCTAAGCATACTACACATGTCCCTTTGAAGAAGCCTCTCTGACAGCAGGATGAAATGTATGGAGTCTCTCTGGCAGCAGTTGGTTTTAATTAGCTTTTTGAAATTATCTAAGAAGGTAGATAAATGAAGACGTTTCTTGTGAATGCCAAGAAGATTCACCAAAAGTAAATGAAGAAAGGTTCAAAAATGATAGCGCCAGCCAAATAGCTCAGCAGACTAAAGTGCCTGCTTAGGCAGAGAGCAGGGACCGGGTTTTGATCCCCGCCACCACAAGCTGTGTTGGCCCTGCCCCCCGGGGTGTGCTGAGACAGAGACTGAGACTGGGCGTGATGGCGCACACCTGTAATCCCAGCGCTTGGGAGGCTGAAAACAGGAGGATCACTACAAGTCTGATCTGTGTAGTGAGACCCTGTAGATCCTGTACTAAATACATACATTTAAAAAAAAAATTCACTGGCAAGCGCAGGGTCCTGAGTTCAATCCCCGGTATGGAAAAAAAAAGTTCAAAATCCTGACTAGTCCAATACCAAGTTCAGTTTTATTAAACTGAACTTGTACTTTAAAAAAAATACCATATCAGGCTGGGGAGATAGTTCAGCAGCATAAGTACCTGCCTGGCAAGCGCAAGGATCTGAGTTCTATCCTTGGTACCCTCTTCCATGAGGGCCCTGGAACCAGGCGTGGTGGTGCACACCTGTAATCCCAGTGCCAGGGAGGCTGAGACAGGAGGATCAGTATGAGTCCAAACTGCACAGAAAGACCCTGTATCAATAAAAATAAAAAATAAACATACCAACTATAAGAAGCCCAGGTCCAGATGGGTTCATGGCTTAACTGTACAAAAACTTAGGGAAATTGTAACACCAATACTGACTGGTCAGGCTTTCTAATAAAATCAAACGGAAAGAGTATTCCCAAAAGTAATTCATGGAAGCCACTGTTACCCTTATTCCAAAATCACACAAGCATCCCACCAAAAAAGAGAATAAAAACCAATCTCTAATGAACATAAATGCAAAAATCTTCAACAAGATACAGGCAAATAGCTAATCATGTTGGTGCACACCTGTAATTCCAGCACTCTGTAGGCTGAGGCAGGAGAGTTGCTGCAAGTTCAGAGCTAGCCTGGGCTACATAGTGAGTTCAAAACCAGCTGAACTCACTGTCTCAAGAAGGAGGAAAAGGAAGAAGAAAAAGAGGAGAGAAGAAAGAAGACAAGAAAGAGGAGGAACTGGTTCTCAGTATGTGTATTGAATATCAGAAATACTCTTCTAGCAATAATATTAAAGTTCCTCGTATGTATTCCATGCTCTGTAATCATTCACTTAAAAATTGTTCAGCAAGTGCTTCAACATGTAGGATATTGTGCAGTGGATTTTGGAATCCTTACACTGACCTCATGGGGTGCAGTTCTGTTTGACCTCCAGTTCCAACTGAGACCAAATAAGATTAGTAATGTACAAGGTCGCCCATCTCAAAGTGGGCAGAAATGCAGCTGCCTATCTGCAGCTACAGCACTGGTTTTCTACAGTAAGCTGTTTCTCCTCCTGGGAGATTTTAATGTCCTTAATTTATCACACTTCCTCAAGCAGCAGTTGTGGCCTAAGTGTCCATCTGCTCTTCAAATCATACTCCCAGGATGACTTCTTCTTAGACATCTTTTGCAGCAGTGATCACTTTTTTTCATTTCAACCAAACAAGTGTATGAATACCGGAGTCAATAAACTTACACTTAACTTTTCTGGCGGCTGGTTATTTTGATATCCCCCTATATCAAAACTGTTATGGCAGCTAAGTTAGACAAATAAGTATAGAGTCAGGGCAGGACTGAGTTCTCAAGGAAGTGGCTGAGTTTTCATAGGAGGATATGTTAGGTGTCAGATGTACCAAGCTCATGGTCCCAGGACATTGAGAAATGAAGTCACAAACCAAAGGAGGAAGTTAGGAGAATTTTATTGGAAATAAGGAAAGAAAAATAATGACCCTTTGTCAGGATTACTCTATACAGCTCAGCCACAACATGGGCATAATGGGACTCAAACTACCATCAACATACAGCACTACAAGTATAGTCACTCACTGTTAAACAGATGCTTCATGGCACCTGCTGAAGCACATGACTACAGGAAGATCGTGCCTAACAGCACGCAATGGTGCTGACTATCATGAGAGGCTGAAATGGGTTGTAGATCTATTTCTTATGAGAAAATTTCTGATTTCTCCATGGAACATGTGCATAAAAATTTTCATCATCTTGTCTTCAGTCTTACATTTTTACTCAAATGTTTATGTTTTTTTCTTTGAGAACTACACTGTCACTTAACCTGACAGGGTCCTTGCTTTATTCTG